TAATGCTCTGGTATGGCCGAGAATGGGGAAGGTCAGCTCACCATCTCGAAATGCTCTCACATGGCCACGTGCGTACAACCGCCACCTTCTCGAGACAGGAGTGTTGTTTACTAAATTTAGAGGACAAAAAGCAAATGTCCGGCGCTTTAAACGGGTTGATTAATCAGGAGGATCTACTTAGGGGAGTCCGAAAACCCTAATTCCAAACCAATGGTGTACATGGGTTCCATGATTCTAAGGAAACGAATTGCTTATGAACCTGTTGTTGGTCACCGGCTACCATGGAACTGCATCTTCCGACGTCGCTCCACTACCTTGTGGATTAAACCTTTAGGTCGAAGGCTTGGGGTGTGGTCCACTAAGGAAACCACTAGCCTCGGTCTATGAATAATACAACGTAGAATACTGGTTGGTAAGTAGCAGTTGAATGTGTAAACTACTTCTCTGATTTTATCGGTTACAGAGGTTCTGATTTCTTGAAAGTCGTTGAACTATTGAAGTGGAAATAAAACTCTGGTTTAGCTTAATCTAAAATTCTTTACATGTGGTTTTATAACGCGTTGATAATAAATCCAGTTTAGATGAATGTATGACAATCTTATCGAAATATACACCCCATCTATCCTCGTATATAATTATCGATTTAAATAACGGGATCAAATAAGTCGAATACGACAATGAATTCTGTAAACTTATATTTCGTACACTAATCGATCAGCACAGACAGAAAAACGATGTGGAGGAGGCAAAGTGAAGCGGAGAACATCGTCGGAAATATGAAAACCAAAGCGATACGAAGGTAAGTAAGCCAACTCGTTTTGATAAAGCGTGACTCAATATTTACAGTCAGACAAAAATCAGTTACAGACACGTAATGAATAGGGTGAAAAATTTACATATATACGCTCATATAAAAAGTCAGTGTTAATAAGCAAATAATTGACACAGTTAAAATATAACCTGAAGAGAATGAATAAATTAGTTTGTTCAGAAATTAGAATAACTCCTGTGGGTTTAATATGGTACTAGACACTTCAGTGGTTCACGTGGTACATATTCATGTTGTATCATTTGACAAATAAACTATTCTCAGAAGGGGTTTTGTGGAGATGTTACAAATTTCACTAGTTGAAATCATGAGCCAATTGAAGCTAGACGACCATGGGAAACCTGGAAGGCCGTTCCGTCTTAGTAAGGGACTCCTCAGCAGTGCGCATCCACGATCCCTCCAGATTCGAAACCAGGACCTATCAGTCTTGCGCGCGAGTGTCTAACCATTAGACCATTGAACCAGCATCCAATGGTGTTAATGTTTAATTTCAACCCCTTCTGATAATAATCATCTGCTCACTAGTGACTGAATTCAAGAGGCATTTCCTGGAGTTCTAGTGAGAAGCCGTTACCAGTGGAGTTCAATCAGGTCTATTGTGAGATATCAGCTCACTGAAGTCAATCGTGTACGGTGGAGGAATGAACTATTCAACAATGTAGATTTTTACCATTAATATTAGTTTCCTATATATAGATGTTAGAGAGAAAAAGAAAATTTCGATTCCATTATACTTATTTAGATTTGACAATATCAGAATAAATTGATTTTATTTTGTTTTTACATTACATATAGTTTACTCAACAGATTCTTTCTCAAACTACCATCCCATTAATATATTTATTCTATTTAGTTTTGTATGGTACAATTAGTCTATCTCTTAGAATTACTATAAGTATTATTTTGTTAATTTTTAAAGCAATAATCTATTTTGCCTTCTCATAATGAAATACAGTATTATCAGAATGGGTTTTGTGGAGAGTTTTAGAAATTTTACAGGTTGAAATCATGAGTCGATTGAAGCTAGACCACCACGAAACGGCCGTCCAGTGCTTCCAGGTTTTCCATGGTGGTCTAGCTTCAATCGACTCATGATTTCAACCTGTGAAATACAGTATGACTAGATTACTATTTATGCTTATCATTTATACTATGAATAAGATACCGCATTATTTTCTTCCTTTAAATTTACATTTTGTCTTATTTGATTGTTTTCACCAGTCGCCTAAAAGAGAATGAAAGACTAAAGTCATAATAGAAAGTTAGTTATATGCTTTAAGCTTAATGATTTGGCTCTTTATAAGTGAAAGGTTTTATTTCATTTAATAGTCAATTATATGATACACAACTGTTTCAAAAATTCAACTTGTTACGCCCTTATCACAATTTATTAACAAAAAAGAGACCATAATTGAGCCACTTCTTTTCTCTACTAAACTATATTCTCTTTGACTAATGATTCTACTGTAGTGAACATGAATACAATTGGGGACAATTGAATGTATTTGAATATAAAATTACAGAACATCGTGTTTACTACACTACATATTTAATTACGATTTCATCTATATTACAATAATATCCATGTAACTTCATCATCATAGCCATTAGCATAACATGTTTAGTCTTCTTACAAAAAAGGATTGATTTAATTTGATAATTCGATTAAATTTATTGAGTAAGGTAATTAACTACCTATTAATGATAAGGGTAAATAACTTATTTCAAATGATTATAAAAAAGAGATAAATGGATAATAAAATAATGCTATCTATTTATGTGATTTATATACCATCTGAAACAAGATATTCCTCACAAAAAAATTGTCGGATACAGTGAACATAGGTTTCGAGTGATTTATTCAGTGGTATTTTGACTACTGGGAAAAATGTAAACCCTTGATTTGATCCATTCAGTGTAACTGAGGTATTCACAATTAGTGAAGTTCCAAACTTGGATGAGATTGATTTCCAGTTCACTTTCATTGTCAGCTAATATCAGTTTGTGATGTACAATACACACAAATAATTGATGGGTTCAGGAACAGATAGTTCTGTTGTTTAAAAACACTATTATGAATCTAATTATGAATTTGTAATAGTCGGTTTTCTTTAGTCATAATATATCGTGAGACTTGTTGACAGCTACTTCAATATCTTATATTTAAAGTTCTGTCATTGGAGCAAAGTGGTTCTATGTAGATAGATATGATGAAGAAGACCGTAAGTATAAGCTTGATTGTAGCTTTCATTCAAGCTATCAACGAGTCGTGGATTGTCTGTGATTTCTATCATCGTTATTGTAGTCAAATTAGTTATTGGAGTAGCTGAACAGTTGCTTGTAATGTTAACACTTGTGTTATAATCTACAAAAATAAAGTCATTTCTTTGTTTTTTTGAAGTAAACTGACATATGCCCAATATAATTTATCATATACATTAACATCTTACAGTAATCATTATAAAATCGCTAATAAAAAATTGTATTCCGAAATTTTAAATTATCAATGTGAAGAGGACCATGAAGTTATTTAATTGGTGACTAAGATGAATTCTGTAATTGGCTTACATAAACAAATAAATAAAAAACTGATAGGTCCTAGGTTTGAATGGCGTGAGTGGGATCGTGGATGTGCACTACTGAGGGGTCCGATACTAGGACCAAACGACCGTCCCGTGCTTTCAGATTTTTCATGATGGTCTAGTTTAGATCGACTCATGAATTCAACCAATAAACCACCACAAAAACCCTTTCTGAAAATACATATGAATTGGTCATAATCTAACTGCAAATCTTTTAATAAATAATAAACATTAGACAGTTAATATATCGTAGCTAAAATTTAACAATAAAATATTTCAAGTATTCTGTTTAATATAAGTTACAAATGCTTTTAGGTGAAGAGTTATAGGCTTCAATGGAAAACTAAGCTGTTACTGTATGAAAACAAACTTGCTTAATGAACTTCAAGAAATGCATCTATTAAATTTTGTTGTGAACTTTCCAAAATTATTCGAATTATTTCTCAGCATATCTAGAGTCTCGATAGAACAATAAGAAGATGGAATTGGTCTAAAAAGATCCGATATAATTTCTGGTTAACGTTTTAATGGTTGCTGAGCAAGAGCAGCATATTTACAATTAAAGAACATCTGGAACTCAAAACAACTCTCAACCAACACCAAAGTCAGAATTTGCAATACAAATGTCGAAATAGTTCTACTGTATGGGTTGGAAACGTGAAGAACTACGAAAACTATGATTCAGAAGATACAAATGTTTGTTAACAGTTGTTTACTCAAATTACTTCTGATCCATTGGTCAGACACTATGAGCAACAACCTACTGTGTGAGAGAATAAACCAGATCCCAACGGGTGAAGAAATCAGTAAGAAGTGATGGAAGTGGATAGGACACACATTGAGGAAAGCATCTTACTGTGTCACAAGGCAATCCCTCACATAGAATCCTCAAGGCCGAACGAGAAGAGGGAGACATTACACCAAGAAATGGAGACAGACAGACAGATAAACATGAGAAGAATGAACAACAATTGCATAGAACTAGGAAGGAAGGTCCAGGACAGAGTGGGTTGGAGAATGTTAGTCGACGGCTTATGCTCCATTAGGAGCAACATTCCTAAGCAAGTAAGTTAGTGACACATATATACTTATCTAGGCATTTTATAAAGGTCAATTACGTCAATGTTCACCTCAATTCATTCCTAAATGTTACACTCGTAAACAATGATAGAACAGAACAAAACTTGTATTTGTTAATTAATAATTATTAGAAAGATTTTGATCAATTTAAGTCAACTGAAACATTTTATTCATAATTATTGATATGGAGTTATGGAGATAATTAGGTTTTTGATTAAGATCATGAATCGATTGATGTTAGACCACCATTAAAAACGTGGAAGTCCCTGGATGGCTGTTTCGTCCTTAACAGTACGCATCCACAATCCTGCTCGCAAGATTCCAATCCAGATCCTTCAGTCTCGCACGCGAACACTTAACCTTAACACTTAATCATAATTATCCATATCTTTTGTACTTACTCTTATTAAACAACTCATTAGAATCACACATATACCATTTTAGTAATGAAAGCAAGCAAAGGAATTCTAAATATAAAGAATATGTTTCTATAAATGATAGTATCTTACCTAATCCATGAAATGCAATATTCCCTAATTGTAATAAATCATTTAATTGTTCTAATTCTGTTTTATATGACATATTAATTGTTGTTTCTAATTCATTTGGTTGAATCATTTTCATTGTTGAACTTATAAATGATGAATATACTTCATTATTAGTTAAAATAGGTTGAATTAATCTAGTTTTATTCAATTGAATGGGATGATAGATTACACTGGAATTTCCATGAATTATTGATTGTTTCTTTTGATCATTATTATTATTATTATTATTGGATGATTTAAATAATAAATTATCATGATCAATATCTTTATCCTTATTATGCCTGAACGTTTTATGGTCACTATGATCTACATTGGTACTTCTATGATCATTAGTACTATTAACCGTCATAGTTGTAGTATTTGTCGTAGTTATATTTGTTATATTCTTCTTATATATATGCTGATCAATTAAATGTTGAAATAGATAAGCTAATTTTTCTATCCATAGAAACAATGGACGTTTTTTATCTTCTATAATATATCCTTGTAATTCATTCATAACATATGACCATAATGTGGATAAACGTTTTTGTTTAAATTTATATAAACTATTTTCATGAGTTGCTAAGTGAAATTCATCACCAATATAAAATATTTTAATAATTTCATCAATATCTTCCATTGAACATTGATTATTTAATAGATTTATGATAATTTTCGGTCGATTATATCGTCCTAAACGTTCAGCTAAAATTGAAGCAATTTGTAAACAACTAATATTTAAACAAAATTTTTGTATTTTACATTTTTGATCTATACTACTATTATTACTACTGTTATCATGACTGCTAATATTATTATTATTATTAGTTTCAATGGGATTAGTCGGTGAAACCTTAGATGTATTAAGTTGTTTGTTAAAATTTGGTATTCGTTTTAATGATGTAGACAATGTAGACTGTAATGGTTCTAGATTGAATAACTCAGATGATAATCGTAATGGTGATAATGATGATGTTGATGATGATGTTGATATCGGCAATGTATATGAAGTGATTGATGATTCATTATATAATTTATACAATATTATCATAGTAATAATAATAATAATCAATAATAAAATCGATAATACAATGATCACTATGATCATTTGTTTACGTCTATTATTTGCATGTATATAATCAGATAAATTTGCACATAAATTAGACTTCATATTTGATTTACAACATGAATACAATCTATTATGTAATAAATTGTCAAAGATTGATTTCATTTTAGTTTTCATTTGTATATATTCAGGTTCATGATATACATTATCTATAGTATCTAATTTATAATTTCCACATTCAATAAATGCTACAGATTTATTCGATGTTTTAATGGATGTTAATTCATCATTTATAGAAGGTTTCATTAATACATCGATTGTTTTATATTGTTTTGTTAATAATTTACGTTTTGGTAAAGATTTTAAATTATTATTATTATCATTATAAACTTGTTCTTCATTAGATGATATAAGTGGATGGTAACATTCATATTTACTTCCAGATGATAGATAACTTTTATTATTATTACTATTACTACTATTATTATTAGTAGTAGTAGTAGTAGGAGTAGTACCACAATTATTATTTATTGAATTGGTTATATTATAAAACATTTTTGAATCTAATAATTCTTTACAATCTAATAAACCATTTTCAATTTGTCTACTAGCCATAGCAAATGGTGGTCCAGAATACATTGAGGTAAATTCAATTCTATCAATATTTCCTGTTGTATTAATAGATTTTAAACTGAATTGTTTATTGAAATGTTTAATTTTCATTATATTTTATTGATTATTTATTTGTAGTTCGTCATAGCTACTAAAAGAAAAGAATAATAAAATAGGTAATATTAAGACATGTAAACAAGATCATGTAAATAGTAATAATAATAATAATGGTATTTACTATGAATGTTTCACCTTTCTTCACCTGATTTAAACAAAGTTCTATAATACATGATAAATAGATGTTCCTTTAATAATAAACCAATCACAATTGAGCAAGTGTATAACTATGTATATTTACATATAAGATTTTAAATAGTATTGGATGTACATTTATAGAAATGTATTTTGTTGCTTATTGGTTAGAGAAAAAAAGTCATAAGTTGTTTCTACTTCTTTTTTCTTCTCATATCAACTATCTTGATCACGTATTTTATTGAAAAATATTTGAGATTTAATTAATTTAAAATAAAATCTTGTGTTGGTGGGGAAGATTTGTAACTCAGGTGGATGATTTTGATGGAGTTCTGTTCTTTGAGCTAGATGGTTTGGTTGTGAAGCTTTCATCATTCTTTTGAATGACATCATCAGCACAAACTTCAGATAGAAGTGAAGCGTTCAAATTTCTCCATATATGGTTCACAGCTTATCCTGTACACCTTGATGTTGATTGGTTCTTGGATACAACTAAAACAAAGAAGTAAACAATGACAAATTTATGGTCAATAAGAACCAATTAACATCGAAGCGTATAGGATAAGCTGTGAACCATATATGGAGAAATTTGAACGCTTCACTTCTATCTGAAGTTTGTGCTGTTGATGTCGTTCAGAAGAACGATGAAAGCCTCACGACCAAACCATCCAGCACAGAGAACAAAAATCCATCAAAAACAAAATCTTGTATTCACACGTAGAAACTGTTTTCTGATACCTACGATAAGATCTATAAATATAGATGGGTAGTGGGTAGCAGTGGAATCCAGGATGAGTTGAATAAATATTATCATTCATGTTATAATGTGACCGATTACGTTGGCGATTCAACATCAAAATAAGTCTTTTATCATGGTAAGTCCCGTAGTTCGACGATCGGTAGAATAAAACTTGAAAATAAAAACCTGGTTTATAGCTAAGTGATCACTTAGCGTTAGGTCAATATCTCCATGACTACTGTAAAATTGTTTTCTAGAATGCAAAAGTAATTATTATAATTACCCTATGAAGGTGATCACATAGATGATTGTCATTTGAAATCCTTAGTCTAATAAAGTTTGAAATCTAAACAAACATTATCCCTACTCACTTATATAAAGATAACTCACTTTGTGCATAAATTTTACATTCGATTCCTGTAAAGTTAATAGATCGATAATGAAATAACTATGTATTACTCTCAGTTATTTAAATGATAATAGACTATAATGACAATGAAATAGAAACTGAATTATATCTTTGTTGAATTATCCCTTTACAACAACAAGAAATGGATAAATTAAAAAACAAAAACAAATTAAATGTGACGAAATATTAAACGATAAAAACAAGTATGATTAATAAACAATATTAATTAAAAAATTATACTATTTAAATTCACTTGGTATTGTTTTGCTTCAATCTTCCCATTGAGTCCCAAGTAGGACAAAACGCGCGTCGTAGATTCCACTGCAAGCCATTATCCATCTTTACTTAGAAAGCTTGTGAATTTAGGCAATATCGAGGCAATACCCACTGGATGAACTTATGCCAATAACAGACTGATCAATTGCAGTCTTAAACATCAATGGGAAGATTCAATCAAAGCAATAAAAAGTAAATTTAAATTCACCCCTTTTCACAAGCAAGTAGCTATAAGGACTCAGTAGTTAAGTGTATAACGCTATGGCGTTTGAAGCGTATGGTATTGGATTCGAGTCCCAGAGTGAACCTTAACTCAGAGGTGTAGGTACATCTAGCTGATGAGTCCAAAATAAGACGATACTCTCATCCTGGATTCCACTGCCTGCCATTATCCATCTTTCCTATACTATTCAAGTTATCAAATTATTGACCCTGTCAAGTAGTATAATTAACTTTCTAGTTTCATAGCTCATAAGATCAAATAAACTAATTAAGAACTATATATTATATAACTAAATGTATAAATGACATTTTTCTTTTTTTCTTTTCTACATGTTGCTGTATTAATTTATTATAGTGAAAAGAAAATAAACAATAAAAATGAGAACAAATAAATAAGTGGCATAATCCTACAGAAGTTTGTTTTTGTTGCTGCCTAGTTTTTTTCCATATGTTGTTTTGTTTCTTGTGACCTTGAAGTTATATTATAACAAGTAAACAGTGATTATAATAAAATATAACTCCGTGTTATGTTTATTTTCTTTTCTTTTTTTCTTCAAAAAGGGAAATTAATTACATGACCTTTCTACATGATAAATAAATGCCTTGTCATTATATATAAATTAGGTGTTCATTTCCTTAAAATGAAAACTATATATATATATATAAAGGGAGAGAAGAAGAGGAAAGATGAGGGAAGGTGACAAAGAGTTGGAAAATAGGATTAATATGAGAAATCAATATAAGATAATATAGAATTAGATGTATTAATAAATTTCAATATGTTCTTCATCACCAGATCATACTCTGTAAAGATAATCTATACTGAATATCTATTAAGTAAGTTTTTTGATAAGACAAAAAAGGAAATCTATACACCTTAATCCTTAATAAAGTAGAACAAAACCTCTTTGTGCGATACATCCTACTTGATATATATATATATATATATATACTAGTAAATGAAATAAAGATTTTAAGAAATTGATCTTAAGAATATTTCTAATACAGTTTTTGTTCTAAAACTCCGTTTCCTATATACATCTCTATTTCTAGAGCGTAAAAACTTTCTATGTATATGTGCAAGTGAACTCTATTTTATTGAGAGAAGATTTTCTCGATTAAAATATATACTGAGCTTGTCGACTATGTCATTCATTCTTATTAATAATCCATTTATTCATATAATTGTAAAGTAGACTAATCGTACATTACAAACGAAATCAACATTGACTATTGTTATGACTTTAAGTTGGGTCGATTTCTACCCTGTGCTAATTGTTGTGTCCTTGGCTGGAAAAATTAGAGAGCAGTGTATTTATCGATCGATTCAATGACACGTAAATATGTACGGACGACCTAGAGTCTCGATTGGTCCCACTTCCTTGCCTAGTCCAGCCAGTTGAGTCCAGAACACAAGTCACAGCCTCTGAGTTATGAATCATTATATTTCAGACATATTCTATTTATATACTAACCAAACATACCACATCGTACCATAAAAATAGAAAACAACATTTTGTACAATATTCAACAAGTGAACAGATATCGACCAATAGGAAATGTTCATTTAAAGTCCAAGGACACCAGTGGACTTAACATGATAATTATTGGTCTATTCCTCCGCATCCACAACAACTATATATCAAATGTCATATTTTGACGCACGTTCAACTGAACACTGGTCAGGGAAGACTCAAACAGGAGAATGGTTTACCAAGAAAATGACGTAAAGGGTTCAAATAGTATATCTAAACTTAAATAAAACACTCAGGTGATTTGTAATTAGAATCTATATGATTATTCTTAGCCCTTCCTGAAGCCTTACTAAGGTCACTGTCAATCCAAATTCCGATTGAAGTTGAGAGGCTGGGGATTAGTTTAGGAACATCAACCCGTAATAATGAGTCTTACAAAACGTTATTCATAATGTAGTTTTTCTTGTAATAACTCTTGATATGGTTAGCAGATGGTTTATATTCTATTCTTTTTTTCCAGTGAATATATAAAACTATCATCTGTGTTAATCGTTTATTCTTTTATTGTTGTAAGTAGTATACTCCACATTACTCAAAGTTATCACTAACTATATGAATAGGACAATTAGAAATATGTAACTGCCGAAAGATTTTGAATTATATATTATTCTGGATAATTATGTTACTGGCAAATACATTGTTTCTTGAAAATTCAAATACAATCAGTAAGAATGGATCTGGCAGTTGAATTTTTAAAACATGAATGTACCATTAAATGAATAGTCATAAAAATCCCATTCACAAAGTTTGATTTTGATGAACATCAAAGAACTCCATAATTATCTTTTCATTTTTTTCTTCATTGTATCATCCATCGTCTGTATTAGCAGGAATAAATCTTTATCTCTTTTCCTTAGTTCAATATTAAGTTACAAGAATTATTATAAGTATAGTTCCAGTTCCGTTAACATTTCGATTAACATAGCTAGGAACAGATCATAACATACATTTAAAAAAATCTATATCAAAACATTCTACCCCCGATAAAACTTGTTGACAGGAATCTTTTTTCATCTCTATTTTATGGATACTTATTTCTAACATAATGTTCCAAAAAAGAAAAGAACTTTGGTCATAAAACAAGCAAAATAACAAATGAGCAGACGGTTGCTACACCTTAAGACGTAATATTAGTAATAGTAATGGTAATAATAATGATAATAATAATAATAAAATCTGATTAGAGTGGGAACAATCATTTGCTCTTTCTCGTTGTAACAAGCGTATTTATAAAAAATAGTCTTCGTATATTCTCTCTATTTTTCCCTCTGAATGTTCATTTATTTAAAACTAAGTCGATTTAAAATGTTATTTTTTCTCTTTAAAAGTAATAAATAGTCTGTAGTTTTTATTTTTTTTTTAAATTAATTAAATTCAATGTTGGAGGCGACTCAAATAGTTTCATGCTGGAACAGACACTTAAATTAGCCAGCAACTGGACATTCTATGCAATCCAACTTGCCATTATTGAAAGCACAAGCTCTATGTTTCACTAAAAAGCCCAAACAACACACAAACGATTGTGTCACATCCCATTGTGTCTATCAATTTACATGTATTTGCGGAAACATGTACATAGGAAGGAGCAATCGTGATCTGCAATTAAGAGTAGGTGAACACTTAACAAATTTGAAAGATAATTCTCATTTAAATATTAAAAATTAAACACATGAAGTTCAGCGAAGGGATCTCTTTTCAATGAATTTATTATCAAGCTGTATATTCGTATGTATACGAAAATTTGTTTCAGTACTTTAACAAAAAAAATTGCATAAATATACCATTATACGGCTTGGAAAG